GTCTTAAACTGAACAAGAGTATATATATCTATACAATACATAAATAAATACAAGAAAACACGAAGAAAGTTAAGAAAAACAATAAGTTTCATTTATTGCGCTTAAGCTGCAAGTAAGCAGAATAATATATATACACATCACATCAGTTCATAATTTATTTTCAGGATTCATTAGTTCTTACGTCATTATTTTGGTCTGTTTGGTATGACTTTAAGTCCCATGAAACTGGCGGAGTTCCATTTGCAAACAGTCATTATGTATTAAATCAAATCTAAGTTTGTAGAAAGTGCAACACGCCTGTTACGTTTTCATTATAAATTTAATATTTTTAGAAAAGGTTAGCATAAGCCTGTCACAACTGATGCATTATATTTTACCTGTTTAGATGTATAGAGGTAGAGATGCCATAGTTTTACAGTTTAATTAAGAAATCGTGTTTTCTAAGTTTATAAGTTACACTGTTAGTTTCAAGTTAGTAAATGGAATTAATCTCTGATCTTTTTAAAAAACCATAATACCGAGAATCAAACTGTTTAAAATGTTATTATAATTAAATAAATTAACATAATGTCTTTTATTGTTTTTCGTTTGCTTAAAAATCAAGTAAAAAAATAGTTGATAGAGTGCATCAACGCAGGTGTCCCACAAGGAAGTATATTAGGGCCAATCTTATATATTCTTTACACATATGATTTTCCCATAGACAGACAAGAATACAATAGCATAACTGGTCTCTATGCTGATGATACCGGGATAATAGTAAAATCCAAAACTCCAAACATAGCCCTCAGAAAACTGCAAGAAAAAATACAAGACATGGAAAAGTCGTGCCTAGAGGGGAAATTTCAACTAAGCGACCAAAAATTTTAACTTTTAATCATCCGAAATAAAAAGAAGAAGAAAATACTACCACAAAACAAGTTAATTCTATTTAATGAAACAATACCAATAGTTGACAAAGCCAAATACCTTGGACTCATCCTTAATAGCAAATTCAACTGGAATGATCACATCAAAAGCATAAACAGTAAAGCACAAGCAGTGTGCAGTAAACTCCTGGTACTATTCTATCAATCCAACATGGCACTAAAACTCTAAAGATTGCTCTATTTATCCATGATCCACCCCATTCTTACATATGCTTTACCAGTCTGGACAAATATAACACAAACTCAGCTAAATAAATTAATAGCCTGCCAGAATAAAATATTAAGAAGGATAATAGAAGCCAGATGGTTCGTAAGAAATGATGATACAATACACCATAACCTCAAAATAGATGCAATGGACAAACATATAGCTAAATTAAACATCAAATTCTACGAAAAAGCCACCTCTTGCTCTACAGCAAATTTCAAAGAAATATTCCTATTTGAAAATTTAACTGAAGACAAGAGACCAATAGCAGCATACTATTGCAGTGATAATCCCTACATCAATAGCAAATACATAACCTCATTTTCATCATATCTACTTAGCTAAAGTTCATTCTTTTACGATCTAGTCTTATCACCCTACTGCATCAAATTACACAGTCAGAACCTCAAAGGTCTACATGAATACTTCATTTGCATTCCACAACCTCATCGAAACACCGCACAGATCAAGCTCAAGATGAATGGGAAAAGGGTCGCAAGCGGCCTCAGGTTCCCAGATATTTTACACAGTTTAAGTTGATAGAGTGAGGGAGAGAAACAATACAGAAACCGTTAACACGCTCATCAACTAATTAACTTAAATTATGGGAAACTCTTAATTCCCCTCTTTAATAGATTTCCCAAGCTACCCTATCAGCAGGTTAGCTAAACGTTCATACTAACGGCTTCCGTACTTTAGTGTTAACATGCAAGCGAAAGCGGGATGCTAGGAAATGAAAATATTATGACGTGCGATATAAAAAAATAGAATCATATTTAGAATTCAAGTTATCTCTTATTGAAACATTTAAAAATATTGTGTCTATTATGCATTTGTCATTTGAACAGAGATTGCAATTTTCATTTTCAATATACTAAAGCGTAATTTATTTCCGTGGAAATGAAACTCATTTCATAGCTGTTGGTTTCCTTATCAATCTAATTTGTAGATAAGTTGTTAAAAAAGTTTCTGTTCGCATTAATCTGAACTGAAACAACTGGTTAAAAACATTAATATTTGAGGCGTTAGCGCCGTTATCTGATCACAGCAGACGAGCGATAAGATAATCGATATTATTCATCTGTCACACGATTTATTTAATGTTTATTTTATATCAATAATTAAATATAGCAAAATGCTGCATGCGATTCACAAGAGAAAATGCGATATTTCGTTTATGGAAAAGCTGTGATTAAATAGTTGACAGAATTGTGCTTTGTAAAAATGGAATTTTTAAGCATTTCGGAAAAAGGTAGGAGGCTCACGTTTTTAATTTTTTCTAATTTAAAAGTTCTAAAATTTTTTCTTTATTTTAAGCGTACAAGAAGTACATTAGACAAATATGTATTGGGATGCATATAGTTTAATATATATATATAATATTCACCAGAACTGACGAATGCATTAATAATTTTGTGTATATTAATTATTATAATGTTATTGATTTTCTTAAATTTTTTCGTTTTTTTCTCTTTTTTTTTTGTCTTTTTTGTGGTATGTTTTAGTGATCATATTTAATGCAGCTCTAGCACTTAATATTATCTACTATTAACTTACTTTCGTTTTCCTTTTGTTTTCGTTTTCAATTCCCTTTTTTTAATTTCATTTGTTTGGGACGTTGCTCTTTGAGCCAATTTTTATGAATCTGAACAGTAAAAATCGTGTTTCTTTCTTTTTCTTTCTTTTTTAAAAAAAATACACGTGAATTTTCTAATATCATTAAAATATCACCCTTATTAATTATAAACTTTAAATTATCCAGTATAATACTATTAGCTTGCGCACATCGGTTTTCGGGCAAATCCAAGGTAACTAACAAATCAAACGCGCTTCAGTACTGCAGTAAGAACGAGCTATAAAAGATCCCTCTATTTACGCTTTTGTTTTCATATTTTGTAATCTGGAAATGTTATTACGAAAATATTTTAAATCATTTTCGAAGGATGGAGCTTTCGCCTTGCAAAGAAGTGAACTGGGTTCGAATCACAGCGATGGCTGGTCGATACGAATTCCACATCCGGCGTACCCCGACCACAGTGCTGACGTAAAATATCCTCAGTGGTAGACGGATCGTGGTTTAAGGTCCCGTTGCAGCCAGACTAACCGTGAGGGGTTTTCGTCCCAATGAAGCGCAAAAGCGGGTTTGTTCCATCAAAAAGTCTTCCACGAAGGCGAATTTCTCCCAATACTTGATCCAGGAGTTCCCTTATTTTCTGGATTGGGTGCAAAATAACAAGGCTACGGAGTTGAACATTAGTAATTGTAAATATATAATCGTAAATACTCTTTATAATATATAATATTATAAAGAGTAAACTAGGCTAATTTCTTTAAATATATTAAAAATTGATAAAACATTTTTAAATCATAACTTTTGACTATCGTTATAAAAAGGATAGTCGCACTATGGAAAATATGGTTCCAATAGTTTAGTCTGCAGAGTGTTGGAAAGTTTGGTCCCCAAAATGTTAATTTCAATTTTTAGCTTTTTCTTACCCAACCGAAAGAACTTTATAAGCACATCGAAAAATATATTCAAACAATTATAAAATTTCATGATTATTTATTAGTTTTTATTGTTATAATTAACTGTGATTTAAAATTGTTTGAATAATAAAGTTTATGAATTTTTTCATCATTTTAAACTAAGTAATTTAAAATGACAAATCGAAAAATGTGAACGACATCCTTGAGTAAAAAAAATTTTTAAAATCACCCGTACATGAAAATTTTTATTTCTCAAAAACTATTTGACAGTTTTCATTCAAGCTTTGGATTTTGCCATTTAAATTATATGGCTTAAAATGTTAAAAAAATTATCCTTACAATTGAAATATTTTTCGGCCATTATTAAATGAATCAATAAAAAATTACAAAAGATAATTTTTTTCTACTTGGAATTACTTAAAATTATTAATTAGTTAAAAAAAATAGTAATTATTCGAAAGATAATTTATCTTTATAGGAAAAAAAACCTTTAATGTATCTTTTTCTTCCGTTACTATATAGAAAAATAAAAACATTCTTTTTTTATAAATGATGGGATTAGTTGAATCAATGAAAGTTACAATTGTGTGTGGAAAACGTTCCCGAAATATGCTAAAAGTAAAAACAAATTTAGACAAAGTATATTTTTATATCTAATTTCGCTTCTTGATATAGTTGTTGGAAAAAAATAAGGTAACTGGTAACACTTCTATACTTTCTTTTCGCAGCAAATGTTTTGGCTGAAATGTGTGGCAGCAACTGTTTTGGGAAAACTGTTGGCGCAATTTGAAAGACTGTAGCTTTTAGAAATGATGTCATATATATTTTTGCGATCTTCGGATCGACGAATATGAGGAGAGGAATTTAACAACATCGTATTAGTTTTAATAACAGCAATTTTGAAAATATTTAACTGCCGAGACCAGGATTCGAACCTGGGAAATTTTGAGAATATTCTGTAGGATTGTAATATTTATATAGGCATGCTTTTTTAATTAAAGTGATATTGAAAAAGGAAAAAGGTTTTAATTTTAGGAAGTTAAGAACTTTGTATTAGTTTTAATAACAACAATTTTAAATATATTTAACTGCCGAGACCAGGATTCGAACCTGGGAAATATTGAAAATATTCTGTAGGATTGTAATACTTATAAAATATGCATTTTTAATTATAGTGGTATTTATAACAGAAAAAAGCTTTAAACTTTCTTCACTCATTTTAGACGAGGGAAATTTTACATGTCTAAAATTGACACCATTGCCAAAAACTTGCTGCGCGATCTTTCGAATTGTGCCAACAGTTTTGTCATGTAAAATCTTTCAAAGCATTCGCTGCTAGAGAAAAAACTGCTTACATAGAGTTAGTACAGAAGTGTTTCTATATTTTTGTTCGACTTCTGTAGCACTTATTAATTAGCATATTTGAAGTCACTCCCTTAAACCATTAAGATTAGATTTTGGCTCGTGTAAATCCGATCACTAGAACATGTACTTTTACTTGTTAGCAAAGTAGCTTATTAAATTTTGATAGTCAAAAATCCAAATTTTTCAAAATAAGGTAAATTTCTAAAAACTTGCAGCATGATCTTTCCAATTGGACCAACAGTTTTATAAGCAGTTGTGCTTAGTAGCTTATTAAATTTTAGAAAACTCTTTTTACTTTATTAATATTTTATTTCCAGTTTATAAATTCCGTCCAGGTGACCATACAAGTTGGCAGCTACACAAATACATATTTTTGTTTTCAAATGTTATATAGATTTTTTCCCCACTTATATTTCATTTTATACCTGCCTATGCAAAATTTATCTAATGTTTGTCATTTCTTTCCATTCCAGGTCCTGTGAGAATTTTTCAACCCATCAACGCAACGAGGAATGACACTAGTTTTTCAAACGGTGACATTCTCTCAGACAAATATGTTGTCATCGGAACAATCATTTTCTTTCTTTTGCTTTTTATAATTGCTGTTGCCTTTCAAATTCTTAAATCTTATCGAGGCAAATGTTGCCAAAAAGAAGAATCTCAATTGTATGCTCATTTGGAATCGAATGATGACGACGAAGACGATTCGTTGACTGATTTCGAAGATAATCATCCAAATCATTTGTATTCCACTTGCCATTTGTGCGTTGATGACGCTGATATCAACACAGCATCTCTCAGCGTGAACTTGGAGCGTGATGATTGCGATTTTGAGTATGACTGTTCATCTCTGGGGAACAGCGTGGTTGGACTCGAGGATAGTTATACAAAAAGTCAAGAAGTGACAGTACCTGAAAGTCGAAGTCGTTCACTCTCAGCCCAACTTAGTTCTAAATTTCCGTCAATATTCGGCAAAAAAAGCACCGTCATTTGATGACAAAAGAACATTTTTAATCGCTATAATGGCTGATAGTCCAAGATGTGTAGCATGAGCCTGTAGAAGATAAAAGTGTTATTTATATTTGAAAAGATGGTTTATGAAATAATCATTTAAAACTTATTTATATGCTGTTATTTATAACTAGTTAGCGTGATAAATTATGTTCTAACCATTAACTCTTGTCACAATGAAGTGCCAAACTTTTCACTCGTACTGCATAACCAATCGGGTATCAATAGTTGGCATCATAACTAAGCAGTTATGATGCCAACTGTTCCACTCTCGGCATCTAGTTTTGTAAAAAAGGTTTAAAAAAATTGTAACTAAAACCTAGATTTTGTTATTACTAAGAAAATTTCGGCCCACAAATCGAAGCAAGCTGGCAACTCTGATTAAATAGTTAATCTATTTATAAAAATGGAACTCTGAATAGTGTTTTCATACTGAAAAACATACAGTTTTCTTAACATATATTCAGCTATAACAAATAATTTAATGCGTGAAAAAACTTTCTATATCACTATGGAGGATATAAACTATTTTCAAGAGTATACTTTTGTTTTTATTGCGTTTTGTATTTGTATTTGTTATAAAAATAGTTAACATACTTTCTTTTATTGCACAGCTGCTAATAAATTTAATTTATATGTTTGGGGTTCCACCAAAAGATGCCCTATTATTTCGGGTCCCGTAGCAGTAAAAAATTGGGAACTGCTGATCTATGTAGAACAATCTATAAATTATAGTTTTACAAAAAAACAAATAGTAGTGGCCACAAATAATCAAGTTTCTTCTCCTCTTCGCAACAACTATTAAAGACTCGCGAAAACCCTGTCGCATTTCATTGTATTTATTTCATATTTAATTTCATAATTAAAATTTAAATTCATTATTTTTTAATGAAATTTAAATGTTATTGATTTTATGAATCATATATGTGAGTGTTATTATTTTTCATTGTGATAAACTGTAAATAAAAAGACTTATTCGTAAAATGTATAATCATTTTTTTTGGGTATTATTTTTGGTTGTAAAAAAAGTATAAAAATGCAATTGGACACTTGCAAAAAAATTTATAAAAGTGAAATTGTTCAGTTTGCTTCCATAATTTTTCTCAATAATAGTTTAAACCCCTAAACTTATCAATAATCATCGAAAAGTCGTTTATCATTTTATCTTTTAATTCAGGGAAAACAATGCACAGGAAGAAATATTCGAAGAAAATGAAACGCATGATAACGTTAAATAATAACGAACAATTGCTTAAATTATCAACAAAAATTTTTGTATTCTTCAATAGTGTGACATAAAAACCGAAAATGAAGAAAATTCGTAGGCTTAGTTAATGGTTATCAAGCAACAATTTAAATAAATGTAAAATTTTTTCTTTTACGTTAATTTTTTTTCTTTATTTTTACTATTTAATATTTTACTCTGCTTTTTTTTTTTTTTTAATTTTCAACTAAACCCATCATTTATAAAAAAAATATGTTTTTATTTTTCTGTATAATAACAGAAGAAAAAGATATATTAAAGGGTTTTTTTCTAATAAAGATAAATAATATTTCGAATAATTACTATTTTTATTACTTTTCAATCATCTTGGAAATAAAAATATGAACAATAGAAACGAAATCAGATTAAATATTTTCTCTATTTTTTTAAGTTAATGAAAACGTTATTCTTATCATATTAAGTTGATGAAATTTTTTTTATCTTGTGTTATATTCTATTTTTACGGTCCTATTTATTTTATTAATCTTTAACTAAATCCTTGTTTTTCGTTAAAAAAAATTTGTTAATCAAAATCAGTACTATGAGACAGTACAATTATTCAGAATCAGTACTATGAAATCATGCTCAAAATTAAAAGTTAAATATCGACTTATTTAATGAAGCTAAAATAATTTCAATGTCTTTATTTATTTATTATTACTCATTTCTCTTCCCGGTGACTTTACGTTATTAGAATTAGCAGAACACGTTTTTAGTAGCTTATCCCATCAAAATAAAGATTAAATTTATTCAGTATCCTCTATCATAATGCTGTTGCTCGAGGTTATTTATCTGTAATAAAAATGCACAATATTGGTACAGTTTTAATAAGCACCAAATTTAAATAGAATATTTAGTACCTATTAAAACTACACCTGTAATAATGTAATAACCTGTAATAATGAATAATATCTGTAGTGTATATTACCAAAAATAATTAAGCCTCATTGGTGGCAAGGATAACATAACACTTTTTTTTTACGTTTTTCCTAAACGAATTTATTATTTCTTCAAAAATTCGGCTTTTTAATACATAGCTTAATATTTTTTTTCAATTAACTCTTGTTATCACAGAATTATTTGACCATCATTGGCGTCAAAAACACCATGGTGATTTTTTACTTGTCTCCTTAGTGAATGAGTACCATTTCAGTAATTTTTTTTAATACATAGTTTTTTGTTCCAAGTAAGTTACCAATACCAAAGTTAATTAAGGATCTTGGCGTCAGTACTAAGCTCGACGATTTTATACGCTTCTCTTAAATGAAGTAGTTCCATTTTTTTAATTTCTTTGGGTTTTTAGTATCATAGCTTATTTTTTATTTTATTTCAAGTACAAAATTAATCAAGCATCATTGGCGTCAGAAACGACATGGTAAAATTTTACTTTGCTCTAAAACAAATTAGTACCATTTCTCAACTAATTTTGCCATTAAGTATATATTTTTTTTAATTCCAAGTATTTCCTATTATCAGAATTAATTAGGCATCATTGGAGTTAATAATTATATGGTTATTATTTTTAAACGAATCAGTATTATTTCTCCACTAATTTTTTTTTTTTTTGCTTCAAGTATTTCCTGTTACAAAATTAAAAAAGCATTATTGGCCTCAATAATTATATGGCTATTTTTTACGTTTTTCCCTAACGAATCAGTATTATTTCACCATTAATTTTACTCTTTCGTTCATAGCTTTTTTTGTTTCAAGTATTTCCTATTACCAAAATTAATCATGCGTCATTGGCGTCAGAAACGACATGGTAAAATTTTACTTTGCTCTAAAACAAATTAGTACCATTTCTCAATTTTTTGTTTCAAGTATTTCCAAAATTACCAAAATCCTATTACCAAAATTAATCAAGCATCATTGGTGTCAATAATTATATGGTGATTTTTTATGTTTCTCTATTAATTTTGTTATTTGTTGTTGATTTTAAATGATTCAGTTTTACAGAAACACGTTTTAAAAGCATAAATATAAACAAAAATAACACGTGGATATCTTTCGTAATAATTTGGCTATACAAAAAGTCAAGAAGTGACAGTACCTGAAAGTCGAAGTCGTTCACTCTCAGCCCAACTTAGTTCTAAATTTCCGTCAATATTCGGCAAAAAAAGCANCGTCGAGTAGATGTAGTAAGTAATCTTATTTGATTTATTACTTACCAAGAATGCCTTGAACTTGAAAGGTAGTAACATAGTGAAATGTACAATATAATTTATGCTGACATTAAACTTATATATAATATTTAATATTTAATAACATTTCATTTTTATTCTAAGCAGAGCGCGATGACAAGGACGTGAATTAAATATTGAAATATATTTAATATGAATATGAATTTAATATAATATTTAATATGAATTAAATATTATGAATAATATTTATGAATTAACATTTATTATATTACACTGGCACTAATTTAAAATATATTTTCCAGAAGTCAATTATAATAAAAAAAATTATCCAGCAATTTTTTGTTTTGCGAACCATTTGGCGCCCCTTTGTGAGTAGCGCCCGGGGCATGATGCCCCCCCTTGCCCACCCCTCGCTACGCCACTGTTCATGGTGGTATCTTATTGAGCTGCAATGAACATTAATTTTTTTAATAATGTAATGAACTCTATAAATTATTGAAAAAACATGTATACTTATTACATCCTTTCTTATTTTAGGTCTGGAGGCTGATAATGATGTATCCTTTGATGAACTAATTAACAAAACATGATCACAAACAGATGAGGATATAATTGAAGAATTGCAACAAGAAAATAATACGTCAAGGAAAGGAATTATTGATCTCGAAGCAGTAAAGGCATTGATGAGGACAAGTCTGCCTCATTTGCATTGAAACAATCACTACTATATCTGCAAAAACATTTAAATTCTACACTGAGTTGGATAATTTTATGATAATAAATTTTTTTTTGTCAGTTGTTTGGAAACCACAAAATAAGCAGCTCTGTCAAGAACTCCTTGTTGTACTGATGAAATTAAGATTAGGTTTGCTTAATCTTGAGTTACCAACCAGACTTAATATCTCAGTTTCATCAGTTAGCAAGATAATTTTTAATTCTTTTATATAAATTTAAGTGTAACCTTGCAGACATAATCTAACTACAAAAAATTAAAACATTATAAAATTTCTTGTTGCAATGCTTCTATGAGTGTGAAAAATCGCGATAAAAGCAGAGATGTCAAATTTAAACTTCGCTACTACCACGAGAATTTTTTTTTTTTTTTTTTTTTTTTTTTTTTTTTTTTTTTTTTTAAAAACAAAGCGGGGCAAGGTGGCATCACTGAAAAGAGACAATGGAATTGTCATCACTTTTGGGACTGACCAGCCGAGCTACCCGCGTGATATTTTTACTTCAAGTTTAACAAATAGTAATTTGCCAACGAATCATCGAATGTTAATTATTCTATATTATACATTCTAATTATACATTTTTCTATATTGTTTCAAAGTGGAATAGTTTCTGCTCCAAATGAAATATAACTTGATGAAGTTGCGTGCTCAAATAGTCGGAACGGTGGTGGCGTCGCTAACAATTATTTAATATATGTTTTTTTTTTTCTTCTTTTAACGGCAGGCACTGAACTTTTTATATTTTTTATCCGTCGTTGAACAGCCGACCCAGTTTTTAGGTTTACGACTACTATAATGTTCAACTCCGCAGCCTTGCAGTTTTGATTCAATCCAGAAGACAAGGAAACTCCTGGATCAGCACCCCAAGAGGTAGGATTTGCTATGGGAACATGGAGGACTTTGTGACTCGACATATTTAACGTGCATCAGTCACCATTTCGCTATACGAGGAGTTTTCCGCCGGCGGTGATTGAATCCACGACCTCTTGTACATGGGTTCAGTGCCAGACCAGGCTGTCCTGGTCCCAGGCACTGAAGTTTACGTTCTTCGCCATGGAAGGTGTCGGAAATGTTGCTTCCGACTTATGTTTGCGTTGCCGATGGTCACCTTGTGACCAAAGTCACGGATGCGTCCACGCCACAGACACCCGTTCATAGGGTGAGCCGCATTCGCACATCACACAGAGAGAAACATCCATGCCCTGAGCGGGTAATCGAAACAGCAGCCATGTGGCCACCTGGTGGCCTTTTAATATACTAAATAGAGAAACATTAAGAATAAGAGCTTTATCTTGCCAGAAATGCTCTATTTGGGCAAAAAATGGAAAGCACACTTTCAAAACATCTTTTCTAGTCTTCGTGGGATTTAAAGAGTTCTTCCTTTGTAAGATGAAAAAGTTTATTGATGTAAGAAGAGTTCAAGTTAAATAAAACAATTTTTTTGAAATTAAGACTAAGCCAACAAACGCTATAAAATTGATTTTTATCATAAGTCATAAAAATAATTCAAAATTTGAATTATGCGAATGGCAGTAATGAATACATTATCATATTTATTGTATACAGGATGTTTCACTATCAAATCGTTTTTTGATTATTTCCTCCAGCCTTCCTAACTAGTGATTCCATAGATTTTGATACCATTTCATTTTTTTTTCCTAATTTTAATATGAATGAGGCACTCCTATTATGTTTGTGATTTTGACTAAGTTTTGACAAGGATTTTAAAAATTATTGGGAAAAGTAATATTGCGACATTTGCAATTTCTAAAGCCTTAAAAAAATAAATTATACCTAACTAAAACCATACTTAAAAAATTAAGTTTAACTCAATAAAAATATAAATTGGAGTTCTAAGATTTCGTGCGAATGTAGAAAAGACTAAGAAGAAAAAATCTGCCGACGAATATTTCCAAAATATTTTTTCATTTAAAAGATTTCACGAACCACACGTTTTCTTATGATACTAAATAATTTGGTTATAGCTTTATTTTATGGGATCCGAGCCCGGTTCACCTCATTGGAAGGCGAACGCATTATCCCCTGAGCCATCACGGCTCTAATAGCTTTGTATGCGACTATCAACAAGGTCAAAATTCGATAACATTAAAAAAAAAAAAAAAAAAAAAAAAAAAAAAAAAAAAAAAAAAAAAAAAAACATAAGTTCTGTTAACTTAATAAAATGAAGGGGGTTAAAGTGAATTGATATATTGAAAGCTCTTTTATTGATGTTTCCATTTTTTAACGAAATTAATGGTTTTAAAATGCATGATTCAATGTAAACCAAGCATACATAATTTCATCTTTATTGTTGCAATCTAGCAACATTCATCATTACTTTAACAAATTGTCATTTGGAATTATCATTCTGCCAATGTTGTTTGAGTTCAAACTGAAATTTTTATGCTTATTAAAAGTGATTTGCAACCTTGGAAATGGGAAAAATACTTAAATATTCCAGTAAATTTTAAGTACGAAATAGTTAACGTCTTTAAATTAAGAAATTAAGCAATAGTTTTTCGTAGACAATGCTTGATTTCGGTTTCTCTCAAAGGGTAATAAAATTTCCATTACAAAATAGTTTAATGACTAATTTTAAATTCTGCAAAACGGATAATGTTGCCACTCTTTTAAAATAATTTATAATTTAACTTCTCTTGAAAGTCAATATTTTAATTTAATTACATTTACTCCCAATTATGTCTAGATGTTATGTAAAACAAATCTTTTATAAACTTTTTTCATTAAATATTATTTTAAGCTGAAAGTTTGCTTATTTTTATTTTTCAAACTTTCTAATATATATTCTCCAATGCTTTTTGTGATACATTATTCTATATAATGGAACAAAATACGGTTCCATTATATATGAATAGAGGAAAAAAAAAAGGTATTCACATAAACTTCAAAGGAAAAAAAAAGTATTTTAAAAGGTATTCACATAAACTTATTCTAACTTCTTGTTATTTTTAAATGTAATATTTTTTAGCATTATATTATTAAAAAAAAGCCAATAAACAACCTTTTTTGAATGTATTCACAAAAAACATAATGCCGAAACATTTCAAATACAAGTTTGACTTTTATGGTTTCGAATATACTTTTTATAAATATAATATTGAAAACAATGAATTTTTTTCTTGTTGTTTTTGATATTGATTCACAATGTATAAAAAATAATTACACATTCTCACGGAAAAAAAAATCGAATTTTCACCCTAAAGAATACGTTACTTCTTTTTTAAAAAAGTGGGGAAAAAACCTCTCTAAATAGATTTTTTTTTTCTTGAATATTTTTTTTCGTTTTTAAATATAAGAAATTCATTCAAATTATCGAGAGCAATCATACTGTTGTGTAAAGAACTTAAGAAAAAAATGCCTCTAGAGTTCTCTAAAGAAAAAAGAAAAAAAAACTAGAAGAATTTTTTCCCTCCCAAGTAGTGTCGCATAGTGCTCATGGTCAAACTTCTGGAGCCGTTACCAGGGAAATGGGTCTCGCTTCAGTATCTCTCTCCGCCCCAAGCAGATGCATCGGACATCGATCGTTTGAAAGGTGGGCGCTCTCCACCCCCTCTATGCACATGTATTTAGTAACACATTTTATCCCGATTTTTATCTTATTTTTTCACCAACATCGAAAGAATTCGGCATCTCATGGATTTGGAAAAGCGACCTCTTCTTCGCCAGGGTAGCAGTATCTATAAAAACAACTCCACTAACGGATGCAGAAAATTACCTGTGAGTTGATAGAATGATTTTATAGATTAATAATTTGCATAATATTTTAATTTAAATCTTACATTGGTAGTTAATTTAAAAGGAAATTGGTTTTATTTGTAGTTTTTTGTAGCTATGACATGCATTGTTAAATAAGACTTGTTATACATATTAACATTATGTGATGTTTATGTTACCGGCAAGGTATGAAACACCGGCATTCTATAGAATGCCAAATGCTGTTTAGCCAAAAAATGAAAAAAGACGTCCCGATGAGGTTATTATTTAAATGATGTGCATTTCTCAAAAATAAAAATTTTATTCTGAAAAAATAATGAGAGTTCCATTAAAAAAAAATTATTCAAAATGCGTACAGAAAAATGAAAGTTGTACAAAACATCATTTAACATCTCATTAATTTTATACTTTGTCGGTTTCTCATTTGGCATTCTATAGAATGCCTAGGAAATGTGTGAAATATAAATAGTTTCATGCATTGTTGGCAAGTTTTAGACATTCTATAGATTTCAAACTTTCCCGGTAACTAACAAAAACTTATAATAATGCACAAAGTTTATGTCAATCAGTTCAGTTTAAAGATCAACTAATATAATAATTTTTTTTGTTTTTTCTCCGTCTTAAAAGAAGTTTAAAACGCACGTTTTTTACCTTAATACTGATTTAATGCAATAAGTAAGTATAGTATAAGTTTAATTTATATTTTATTTTGGTACTTAAATTAAAATAAAATCTTTTAATTGTTAATATGTTCACAAAAAATGCGTACTGAAAAAAGAATTGTGTAGACGTTTAAGAGTGTTACTGGCTTAAATATTAAGTGTAATTAATTTTTTTTCCAATCAGTTTAAGCAGACATTAAATTTTTTCATCTAAAAAGAAAGAAAGCAATTTTTTTTATTTGTTTTCGATTTTAAAAATAAATCATACATTACAGGGTGTGAAATATAGTGATCTTGTAAGTTGTTTACCAAGTGTAGGCTTTCCTACACCAGGAGGATGAGTAATAACAACAACTTGTTAGTTGTTATAAAAATAACAAAGGGTGCTTGAAAACTTGTTATCAGTAAACTATTTGATTAAACTATATAAAATAACATAGAAATTTGTCTTAGGCTATGGGAAGAAAGTTCCTGATTTTATTTATTTTTCCAAAATAAAAAGAAGAAATAAAGGAAATTAAGACATTGATAAATAAATTAAACAAACAAAACAATTAATCAAAATGAATACATTTAACAAAACAATTGTTTAAAATACAAATGAGTTTTTTTAAGAGGCGAAACATTTTGAAATCAATAATATCACTCGAATTTCGCATTGAAAATGAATTTTTTTAAACTTCAAAATAATTTCAAATTTTTTTACAATTTAATTTACATAGTTTTAGTACCATCTATGTTATTAAGTTATCTTCGGTTTACAGTATAGTCGATATTCAGCAGTAGATCTAATATGGTACGAGGGCGGGAGCCGCTTTTTGATTTTAGTCTTGAAGACCATACCCTAGCCAAAAAAATTTTTTTTTCTAGATAAAACTATGTTAAACTAAAAGTAACCTGACCAGCATTCTCGGAAAAATAAAAATAACTGCTAGTAAAGTTTATTCGAAAATTTCTGCTTTACTTTTCCGTTTTAATATTTTAAGAATAGAAATTTTGAATTTTTGACCATCAAAATATGGGGTAGCAATCTGGAACATTTGACCACAATCTGGAAAATATGATTCTTATAGTTTAGTCAGAAGAGCTATCAAAATTGTGGGCCCCTCAATTTAAATGTAACTTTTTGAATAATTTGGGAAAATTAAGTGAATCGAGAATTTTTTGTACACAATTGGAAAATTTGGTTTTCTGCAAATAATTTCATATAAAAAGCATTATTTGTAATTATTTATTTTTTAACACAAATAACTTTGTATAAATGAATTTTATAATAATGTTTCGTTTCGTTTAAAAACTTTACGAGGTAGAACAAAATAAGCTAAAATACAATGCAAAAAGATTAAAACTGTACGAGAAGCTTTAATAAGATAAAAACTAATCATGAAATTGAAATAATTGTGCAACCATTTTTTTTTTTTAAAATAAAAAACCCCGAATCATATTTTACGAAAGTTAAGAAAAAACCTATCTCTTTCTGGGTAAAAACTTGACTAGATTTATATTTTATTCGGGGGGTTTAAACTAACCCTGACTAACTCTTGATTAACTTAATGAGAGTTTTAACCGATAGGGTTGTTTTCTCCATAATATTTTATAAGTCGTAGAAAATTAAACGCTAAACTCTGCTGATGTCTTAAAATACGGCAGGAACACAATTAAAGTAGTGGTGATTTAAGTACGGCGAGGAGAAAATTGACGTTCCAAACTCGACCAAATTTGCAGTGAATACAATTTAAATTATAATAATAATAATTTTTTTTAAGAAAAGGTTTTTTATTTTGAGAGATTAAAATGATGAAGCTGTTGGTTGGTTGGTGTCGTATCCTCTATTGAATCATATTTCATGGTGTGCTTGAATAGTTTTTGTTATTTCTATGGTATTAAAAGAATACAAATCCTCTTCTGTCGGGTAGTTTAAGAGATGAAGGCCTGCAGCGACTGCAGGGCAGTTAAAAACATGATAAGGTGTCAGTTCCACATTAAGACAGTTGCCACAGTTTTGATATTTTCTAGTCCCATCTGTAGAAATTTTCATGTTTTTATGATGTTTTGTTCTTAATCTGATGAGAGTAGTGGCTGTCTTCCTATCGATGTCAAGGAAGACAGCCACTGATGAAGCTGTTTTGGGATAAAATAGAAATAGCAAGTTCAGAAAATTAACATTTGACAATCGCCTTTATATTCACACTTGCATTTTATAAAACATTTGAGTATATTTCCCCTTAACATTAACGTAGAAACGAGGTTATTTAAAGTTTTCTCTAACTGAAATATGAACAAACTTACAAACGAATAACATACAAGCTTTTAATTTAAGAGGCACAATACATGCAATATTAAAATTCATGTAACATGTCAATTTTCTGTACTTGATATGAATATTTTACTCCAAAAATAGCCCTAATCTTCCACTTTTGACCCTAGTTGCAAAAAACAATTTTTATTTTTATTTTATTTATTTATTTATCTTATTTTATTCCATTTGATTCCTTTTATTTTATTCCATTTTATATGTTTATTTATTTGTATATATTTTTTTTGAAAATTGAATTTTTATAGACTAAAAAGTATCTACAAAAAGACTTAGAGGTATGACTTTTCTCAACCTCTTCAGTCTTGATGTGGCACTTCCTGGAAATTTTTTTAAAGTGGTAGCTTCATTTTGAAAAATATACATACTTTGAAGAATTTATATTTGCTAAAAATATTTTCGTTTTTCATATAAATTCGTTTATCATAGTGTGAGAATTTCAAAACTAATTTCATAAAAATAATTAGAAGTTAACTACTTGAGAAAAATTCGTTACCATTCTTTAAGTGAGTACCCTGTATTGGTGTACAAGTATTTGGTGAAGTATCCTAATGTGTACCTTGGGTCTGAAGAGGTTAATTTACTGCATTTCTGAAGACGAACTTTTTTTTTTAAATTTCGATCATCCATGGATCTATAATCATTGAAGCCTAACTAGACCTAGCTATTGATCCCAGTAACTGTGGGAGTGCAAGTTCCTAGATCATGGTCCATTATTTGCATAGTAATTTTATTCTTCTTGTCGGATTGAGTTGACAAACTAATATATTATCAAACTATTTAATACAATACCAAATAAGTTTCAATCAATTTTACTGATTTAAGTAGAATATTGATTGTGGTCGATTATTTGCCGAGTAATTTCAGTATTCTAGTCAGATTCATTAGGCAAACTGTTCGTGTAAACTGCTATAAAAGGCAGGTATGATTTTTAATTTTATAATCAAGATGTTTATGCTTTCATAGGAAGATTTACACAAATCTCTGTCAATTGTATAAAATAATTTTATAACATTAAACTTCTAATCAGACCGGGTTTGTTAAACATACTTCGGATTCATATTAATATTTACCTTTCTCTATATGTATAGTTAGTTAACTTATTAATTTTCATTTTAGAAATATAGTATACATTCATCCTAAATTTACGATTTTTGCTTTGTATTGTATTTCTAAAGAGTGTATCACGATTTAAAGTAATTATTTAATTTAATGTTACTAAATAACAAATTGGGTGGTGGCTTCTTTACACCAATTAGTACAATGGAACATTCATTAATTCTAAGTATTTCACTACTCCTGGAACAATGCTTGGTTTTGATGTAGTGGAACACTATTACTTTGGTGTAAAGTTTTTATCGCTACTTTTGATGATAAGACACACACACACACACTAATTATTTACAGTGTAGTAAAGAATGAGTAAAAAAAGAACTTCACCCGACATGTCTCACGTTTTTGATAAATGCAATTTATGCTTTTCATTCATTCAACTCTTTAATAGGATACCTGCAAATGATGTAGTGGGAGCATCTCGATCCTGATTGGTTGTCGTAACGTGAAATTTGTTTACGTTAGCAACTGTTCTTTCCATTCTATTTCGAGTAAGCTAAGCCAGTCAAGTATCAATTCTCTTATGTGATACATTCTAAATTCTTTCTCAAAGATTTCAATTCTTTCTCAGATAATTCAATTCCTTAACTACATATTTACACAAAGACTTAGGACTAATACAGGCACGAAGCCATGTAGAAAATAAACAAACTAATTATGCATCGAAGTTGCCAGATACACATAACAGAAATATATCCCGGTTACAATAAAATACATGAACAAATAATAAATCTAAGTGAAGTAGAAGAAATAGACGAGAAAGAACTATATTTCAACTAATTAGATGTGCGATACGGCTCTGTATTTAACTACCTTATCGTAAATTAACATTCTAACTTATGTAGAAAAACTTAGCTCAACTGTTGGTAAAGATTATATGGCGCTGACGTCACAGGCAACACGTGTGGATATGGGAGGTCTTCTTCTTAAAGGGCAAATAATTATGCACTATTATTTATTGCAAACGGTATAGAAAAAAAACTGTATAGTGAGGGCCGGGAAATCCTGGTTGGTAGGGCACTGGACCCATGTCCAAAAGGGAGTGGGTTTGATCCTCGTCAGCGAAGACTCCCCGCGTAGTAAATTGTGACTGATGCACGTTAAATCTATGAAGTCACAAAGTCCTCCATGTTCCCATAACAAATCATATCTCTGGGGGTACTAATCCAGGAGTTTCCTTGTCTTCTGGATTGGTTCAAAATTTCAAGGCTACGGAGGTGAACATTAGTAGTCGTAAACCTAAAATTGTGTCGGCTGTTAAACGGCGGTTATAAAATAAAATAAACTGAATAGTGAATACTAGTACAGTACATTATTTTATATTGTCTGAATAAGAAACAGCTCTGTAGTATTTATCCTATTTTTTGTAATGATTGTTTTTTTTTATAGGAAAATGGAACATTCAAAAAGGCGAAGAAAGAAATAGATTTCAGTAAAAGGCCGATACCAAGACCACAACCCTACAGTTTAGTTTCCATAATTGTCTGTGCATGTTTCGTCGTTTACATAATACAATTCGATCAGACTGGGGGACCACGGTAAGCGATTTCTAGTTGTCTAGAACAATTTTTCTTGATGAGAGAACGATTTTAGCAAATATAATGATGAGAAGTTGTTTTATCGTTCATTGTGTGTTTTTCTTCAATCTATTACCGATACGATTCAAAATACTGGGGGACAAAAAAGTAATTTTTGATCTTATGATGCAATAATAGTTTGAAAAATAGACCGTTGCTGATTAATTTAAGCTGATATTGTATTGTAATTACAAAATAAGTCAGAAAAAATTTATTTTCTGCGTATAAATGCGCCTTTTTAGATAGATTTGGATTCTTGACCCTTACAATATGATGTGTAGCAGCAATTTAAAAAGTATGAGTCCGCTTGTTTAGGCAATAGAGCGTTTTAAACTCTTTGTTATTTTACATTTTTGCGTAATTTGTTATGTATTTAGACCTATTTCAAAAATGAAATTTTTTAAAAATTTTTATTATTAATTTACTCATTTAAAAACTCATTAAAATAAATCCATGTTAAAAATAATTTTTTACATTTATTTATCAATTTTTATAAGTTAATTTAATAAAGTGACTGAAAAAAATTGTATGCTATACAAATTTTTAGATAATTTTAAACTGTGAAATTCTAACCGACAATACGAAAGACAGACCTATCGTGACCTCTTGGTTATCGAAGCAGGCAGGTGACAAGTTATTATAGAGAGCAAGTAACGATAAATATAGTTGTAGGGTATGATAAGTGTTTAAGCAAACTTGGCAACGATTTTGAAAAAAAAAGAAGAAACAAAGAAACGTATGTATAAATTTATAACGTATAAATTTCATGAAAGGTTTCTTTCGTTTGGTTTTAATTTTCAAACTGCCCTTCGACCTCTTTGTTGAATTTTCTAAAAATTTATACGTAAATAACATATGAAAGCAGAGCTCTCAGTGGTTCGATGTATAAAAAAATGAAAAATTGTTTAAAAATTCTTCAATATTTTATTTTGTAACCGTCATTGAACAGCTGATCCAATTTTGAGTTTATGACTACCAATGTTGACTCCAAAGTCTTCTAATTTTGAACCCAATCAAGAAGAAAAGGATCAAGTATTGGGAGAAATTAGCCTTCGTGGAGGAGCCCGCATTTGCTTTACATGGAAAGGAAAACCACGAAAACTTCCCATGGGCAGCCTAGCGGCAAAGAGACTCCAGCACAATCGTCTATCAATGAATATATTTTGTGTCAGCACAGTAGTCTGTTCAAGCCGGATGTGGAAATCAAATCCACCAATATTCGCTGGGATTCGAAACCCGGGTCACTTAAATACTTTATTTTATTTTATAACCATCGTTGAACAGCAGACCCATTTTTTGAGTTTACGACAACTGAAGTTCAACTCCATAGCCTTGAGATTTTGAATCCAATCCAGAAAACAAGGGAATTCCTGCAATCAAGTATTGGGTGAAATTCTCCTCCGCGGAAAACTTTTTGATAGAACTAACCCGCATTTGCGTTACTCGGAGAGGAAAACCTTCAACGGTTAAAATGAAGGCAAAGGGACTTGAAATCATGAGCCGTCTACCCCTGATGATATTTCACGTCAGCACTGTGGTTGAAGCGAGCCGGGTGTGCAATTCGTATTAACCAGCCATCGCAGTTATTCGAACCCGGTTCATCTCATTGGAAGGCGAATCGGGTCGAGTGATCTCACCGATCCGTTAAACGCCATTCAGCGTCGAATTAGCAGATTCAAATCTCGCCTTAATTCTGGAAGTATCTTTGCGAGCCCCTCTAATTTGAGCTAAATGCATTTCAATTTTTACAAGGGTTTGTGAACTACCTTAGTAATAAGGAAATAAGCACTCAATCCGGCATATGTATGATCTGCCCCCCCCCCCAAATATAATAATAAAAAATTATAATAGAAAGATTTCTTTATTTTTTTAAAAAATATCATTCTTTTATCTTTTAGTTTGAGATAAAGGAAAAAATTGTAATTAATGTGGTAATAACGAATGAATTAACTTGGTACTAAATGAATGCAGTAATACGAATGGGTTACTTCTTTGAAAGAAACAGAATGAAAACGAAATAGTTTTCCAACCATTCTTAAACTGTATGATCGCAGAAATACATTTTTATGTTAAATGTATGCTAAGAAGAGCATAAAAGCATTTGTGGTTTCATGCAATTTTTGGAAGTTTACGTACAAATCAAAGTATTAAAATAATAATAAATTTAAGAAGCATTTCCTACCACTTTAAAAGAAATATTTTATTTTTAAGTATTAAAATTTTTACACAAGTTAACTAATGAATTCATATCTGTTTGAGCAATAATAATTGCCATGGATGTAAGCAAGTCTTAGTGTCTATCTATGGCAGCTCCCAATAAAATCCGTACTAAGCATAATAATTTTCTAAAAAGGGAATTCCTGGTAGCAACTTTATTATTATATAGTAAAATTTTTAATCTTCCTTCACATTGAAAATTCCGAAACGCCGAGTGCAGAGCTGTTATACAAATAGAACAATCCCGATGTTATATTCCCTCATATATTCAGGATATATAATTTTTGAACGGGACAGTAAAAAATGTATCTTATGATAAAGGTTATTGCAATTCGATTCAGTCATTTTCAGGAACGCATGAATTTATTTCGTAACAGCATTGAATTATAATTTTTTTATTGATTCATTGATATTGAAATACATAAAAAATCCTTAAATTTTAATCTAACATTGATTGTACAATAGTACTGCATAGAGCCGTGGTGATTCATGGAATAAAGCATTCCCCTCCCCATGAGATAACCCGGTTTCGAACCCCAGCGATAGCTGGTCGATATGAATTGCACAGCAGACTCACACCGACCACAGTGCTGACGTACAATATCCTCAGTGGTAGACGGATCTCGGGTAACAGTCCTCATGCCAGTGGGCTAACAGTGAGAGGTTTTCGTGGTTTTCCCCTCTATTTAACGCAATCATCGATACCATTTCAGGAGTTTGCAGATTTTTGAAAACTTTTTACAACTAGCGATTTTTGGCCTGTCAAGGCGCCGTAAAATACTCTAAATCTTGGAAATAAAAAAAAGCAGGATCACCTTAGAAACTAAAAACAATTCCGCTTCGCTCTTTCTAGTTGAAGCTAGGAGGCTCAACCTTGTTTCCACTTAAAAATATTAAATTAATGTATTTTTTCTTGTAACAGAGAAGCTGATTAAATTTTCGGGTGTATAAGTCCTCCGTTGTCGATTATTATTCCTGTCATGTCTCAAATCATTCTAGACACGTGGCATAATTCAAACATTATTTTAAAAGGTATGGAAATTTTAATTCTTTGGATGGGGGTGAAGTTGATTTTTTTGTGGGTCTCAGTAGTTAAGGATAAAGTAGAATCCATTGCAGAGTGGGATGCTGCTAACGTTCTGGAATCTTTAAATTTGTAGCTTTATCGTATGTTGCAAAAGTTTTCATTGTGTTATACTTTTTTAAAAAAAAAAAAATGTACTCCTGATTAACCTCTTAACGCACAAATTTATTGAAAAAAACCGGCCAAAAAAATTATTTTATTTATGTAAAAAAACACACTTTAGAAGAATTGTCTTTTCTTTTGGTGGACAATTTTGATATACTGAGCTTTTGTTCCATGAAAAAAGGCTATATTCAGAGATGCCAACTGCTCCGGACACGCCAAAATAATTAAAAAAGAAAACGGTAAATAACTACATAATAAATTTTGCCAATATTTGAATATTTTTCTTTGCTTTTTAAAAGGTGTAGCATGACATAAGTATAATAANATCAGTAGAAAAGGTCATAATTTATAACAGAAAAAAAGGCTTTGTTTTTTAAAAAAAATGTCCAAGTGCAGAATTTCGTTTAAAAAATGCTGTTAAGCTTTTGTACTCCGAGTACTTTAAAACTCTGTTTGAACTAATATATGCATTGAAAATATGTAATACAGTAATTTTATCTAATTTTTAAAATTCTTTATATAGTGTGGTTAATCATTTTTAATGAACAAAGATTTCTAGTTTTAGACTAGTGACTGTTGATGACGCCTCAGAGACGACATTGGAGTGCAAAGGGTTAATTTTTCATATCGATTACACAAAAATATTAAAGGCATAACATTTTAGGGATGCCGTGTCGTTGATACAGTTGAAATACGTTTTAAAGTAGAAATACATAAATCACAAAATTATCATTCTTATTTGAAAAATGTTAATATGAATTCAATTTATATAAGATCTAAATAAGATAAAAGTTATATATAAAAGTGTCTAAATATGGTATAAAATTTTATATTAATTAATAATTCTAGACACGTGGCATAATTCAAACGTTATTTTAAAAGGTATGGAAATTTCAATTCTTTGGATGGGGGTGAAGTTGATTTTTTTGTGGGTCTCAGTAGTTAAGGATAAAGTAGAATCCATTGCAGAGTGGGATGCTGCTAACGTTCTGGAATCTTTAAATTTGTAGCTTTATTGTATCTTGCAAAACTTTTCACTATGTTATGCTTTTTTGTTTAAAAAAAATGTACTCCTGATTAACCTTTTAACGCACAGATTTATTGAAAAAAACCGGCCAAAAAATTTTTTATTTATGTAAAAAAACACACTTTTCTTTTGGTGGACAATTTTGATGTACTGAGCTTTTGTTTCATGGAAAAAGGCTATATTCAGAGATGCCAACTGTAAATAAATACATAGTAAATTTTGCCAATATTTGAATATTTTTCTTTGCATTTTAAAAGGTATAGCATGACATAAGTATAATAAAGTGGTGAATTATATAAGTCTACGAATTATTTAGAAATAGTGATGGACAAAATCTACTAAATTGAATTTATAAAACCAAGAATCACAATTGATAAACTACCACTTGAAAATATATATTTGCTGTTCTGAACAAGTTGCAAGTTGGCATCTCTGTATATTTTATTCTTGAATAAATAAGTGTTATAGCTTACAATCCTATGTAAATGATAAATATCAATAAAACGAATTTTTTTCTTAGCTTTGACG